CGCTGCGCCGCCTTCGCTACCGCTGTTGGCCGCGACCCTGATGCTCCTGCTGGGGGCGACCGCTGCGCCCTGATCGCTGAACCCAGCTCCGACCAGGGCCCCCGCCTCACCTGTCCCCCTCCGGGACACTCAGGTCCCGACCCTGGTTCCTGTGCCCCTTCCTAGTTGTTCCTGATCCCCTCCCCCATTGGGCCCCAATCCGCACCTCGGGCTGCCACACCAGGGCCCCTACAGGGTTTTCCACCGAGGTACCCACCTCTGGGTGGGGTTCAGCCTCAGCGACCCTGGATAGGCGGGACCCAGGAGCCTCAGAAGCTGAGAGGGTGACCCCACGTCCACCCTGACTGGGGTGTGATTCTCTGACTCCCCTCTTCCCCACCCCAGCGGTCCACAGCTGGATTCTTGCTTGGGACCCAGCGGGCCCTGCCCCAGAGCCCCCCAGGCTGAGCACATCCTGCCCTGCCCCGGGGGTGGCCCTGCGTGGCTTCAGTCCCCTCCACACCGCAGTCACCCAGGAATGAGCCTGGCTTTCCTACACGTCCATGCACACCTCCATCCGACTGCAGCTCACCCTGCAGGCCAAGAGCACTGCCGCGGGGACACTGGGACTCCATCCCTGGCTGTCCCTCCCTGAGCCACTTCCAGACCCATCACAGCACACAGTGGGACCATGGCCCGCACCTCAGTGCTTGTCCCCCAGCTCCACCAGGCTGGGGATTCAAGGAGGAGCCGGGAAAGCTGTGGCAGGGGCAGGCAGCACAGAGCAGCCTACAGCCCCCTCCAAATAAGATTCCCTGTCCTACAGCTGATGGGACAGGCAAATCAATAATAAAAGAAGCTGTTATACAAAGTAGTGGCAGTAATAAGTTCTAAAGCATAAACCAGAGTACATGGGGGCCCACAGTATACAAGCCGGGATAGGTAATTAGATCAAGGGATCTGGGAGGAACTGTGTAGGACAGACTCTGAGGGAGAGTCTCAGTCAAGTATAGAACAGCAGTGCAAAGGTCCTGCGGCAGCAACTAGCAGGAGATGCTTGAGTGGCCAGTGAGTGATAGGCAAAGGAAGTAAAGCAGTTGGGGGAGGGGGGCTAGAGCAGGCATTTAAACTCCAGAAAGCGTGATTTAGAGCCTTTGAGGAGGGACTTGACAAGGACCTGGAGGACACAGCACTGGTATTTTCTGGGAGAGACATCTTGTTGTCTTTTCTTGATTTTAAAGGGGTGTGCAAGGCTGGGCATGGTGGCACACACCTGTAATCCCAGCACTCAGGAGGCTGAGGCAGGAGGATCACTGTGAGTTCGAGACCAGCCTGGGCTACATAGTGAGTTCCAGGTCAGTCTCAACTACACAAAATAGGGGTGTGCAAGGCTGGGCATGGTGGCACACACCTGTAATCCCAGCACTCAGGAGGCTGAGGCAGGAGGATCACTGTGAGTTCGAGACCAGCCTGGGCTACATAGTGAGTTCCAGGTCAGTCTCAACTACCTAATGAGACCCTGCCTCAAAAAACCAAAAGGGGGGGGGTGCAGAGGTGGACAACCTGGAGGGAAGTGTAGACTCTAGCACTTCTGTTTGCACTGAGAACTTTCTGCAGCCCTGTCATCTCGCTATGCTCAGTGTCCATCTAGCCTTCCCTGGTGAGAACACTTCAAGGACTACAAAAAGACGGACCCAACAATGTTTCTCAGCAAATCTGGCAATATTAGAAATTTATTTGTGCATTTACAGAAGTACAAAATAGTACTTTGCTCCCTAGAATTGTATTAGTATGATTGCTTACGCTTCCTCATTTGCTAAAATCTTGATTGAACGGCATAAAACACCCATTTGAAGTCTTGGCTCTCGGGCTTGTTTATTTTAGTTCTGGGTTTTGGTGCTGTCACAAAAATATGGGCGCTGAATGGGAGAGGGGTCGTCATTAGGTGAGCTCACTGAATCATCTTCTCATTTTTAAATCCCAGCCACCAACTACGTGACAGCTTTTGTTAACCTAGCTGGTTTATCTCTGTTTTCCCTGTTGTCAGTTTTTTGGCCTTTGGACACAATGGGGAAGTGTTAAGTGTTTATGTTGTTTTGGTAAACGTGTTCAAAATGCAAGGACCTCTTCATTTAACACCACCAGGCTTCAGAAGCAGCCTGCTCTGGAATTAGATGGCGATAACAGTTCAGCAACTTTGTGACTATTATAAAACCATTAAATTGTGCACTTCCCAAAGGGTAAATTTTATGTGAGGCAGGAGGATCACAAGTTCAAGTCCAGTCCAGGCAACTTAGAGAGATCCCATCTCAAAATGTGAACTAAGATAAATAAAAGGTGGGGGCTGTAGCTCAGTGCAAAGACCCAACTTCCATCCCCAGTACCCCCCACCATCAAACACACAGAGGTAAGTTTTATGATATGTGACTTATAACCTAAATTTTAAAAAACAGATTAAGTAGTCTGTGCTCCAAAGTTTCAAGGTGTTTGCTCTGTCAAATACATTGCTGGCCACTGGATCTAGTGTCAATGAAGAGACCTTCAAACATCTTTCAAAAGTATTCTTTCTGGCAAGGGTTGTAGCTCAGTGGTTCAGCACTTTCTTAGCACAAGTGAGGTCCTGGCTTTGATCCATGGCATGGCAAGGAGGAGGAGGAGGAGGAGAAGGAATAAAAGAGGGCTCCTTCTTTGTGATCTGGAGAAGTTTTCGTGGTCATACCCAATCTCATTACTAAGTATTATAAAAATTCTACTGTCATAAGCCAGGCATGGCGGCACACACTTGTAATTCTAGCATTCTGGGAGGCTGAGGCAGGAGGATTGCAAGTTTGAGCCAATGTGAGCAATTTAGTAAGACCCTGTCTCAAAAGAAAGAAAATTTTTTAAAAGTAGGACATGGTGGCACACACCTCTAATCCCAGCACTTGGGAAGCTGAGGCAGGAGGACCACCATGAGTTCAAGGCTGGCCCTTGCTACATGGTGAGTTTGAGGCCAGCCTGAACTACATAGCGAGACTCTGTCTCAAAAAGAAAACAATAATTTTTTTTTTAATTTAAAAGGCTGGGGATGTATCTCAGTGCAAAGGCTCTGTGATTAATCCCCAGTATAACAAAAAAAAAAAAAAAGGATTCTCCTTTAATAAGACAGTTCTTGGTTTTACAAAATTAATTCCACTCATGGCCACATCTGCGGTGCCCTGAAGGCTTCTACTTTTTCCTGCAATAGACAAGCCGATGGTTAAGTTTTGTGGGCGATGCCACCTCTATGCCCCCATTGCTACCCAGAATCCTTATTAAAAACCCTTTAAAGTGGCCCCTTCCATCAGGACCCCGATTTCACCGTCTTCCCACATGATGTCTTTGTTCAACGAGGTAGTTACTGTCAGCAATATATCTATCTTTTCTTTAGTGGCTCACACACAAAAAAATCGGTTTGTGTATTTCATTACTGAAACAGAATCCAGCGAATACCTTAAGCTGAGATGTGTTGCAAACAGCTGTACTTTCCGCCAACTGTATACCAAACTCCCACACTCAGTAACTTGCTCCTCATACTCATTTCTTCCGATCTACAGCGACATCTTCTCCACATCCTCTCAGAGTATCTGCTGACAAAGAAATGCCTTTCGATTTGTCGACAGATCATTTACTGTTTATTGTTTCTGCCATTTTTTACTGCGGGAGAAAGAAAAAGTGTTTGCCTGGTGCTAGATTTTTTTTGGTCTTCTATTATGCAAGGAACTTTAGAAGAGCTTTCTAAATATTTATCATTGCTTAGGGAAATATAAAAAAGTACTGGGCTGAACAGTACATAACTTGAAACATTGCTGGGAAAAAATTGTGGGGTTTGTCTTCGTGTTCTGTTTTAAATGCCTTGCAAACCAGGAGGATTTCACGCTGTTGTTGACAAATATCTCAAGGTACAGGACACCCTGGGATCAAGCTTCCCTATCAATGATAGAGAGGAGGCTGTTTCAAATTGTTTCATTGTGTTTGCCTTCTTTTCTTTGCTTTTGCTTTTCCTTTGAGACAAGGTCTTGCTATGAAGCCCAAACTGGCCTTGCACTTGCGATAATCGTCCTGCCTCAGCCTCCCAAATGCTGGGATTACAGGTGCGCACTACCATGCCCAGCTAGTGTTTGCTTTCTTACAGGGGAGGCTAGCTTCTTGTGCATAACAGGGGTGATGAAGAACATACACCAAAACTCAGGAGTCCTCGGCCCAGCTGCTTCTCTTTGTGGCTCTCTGGCTGTGGATTATCGGTGTTATTTGCAGTTTCTTTGTAAGGATCTTTTGTAAGCCACTCCTATTGGAGGATTACTGTGGTTAAACTAGAGCATATAATCCATAAACCCCTCAGCCAGACCACTAAACTCAGATGTAGCACAATCCACTGAAAGGGAGGTACAGGGAGGAGGAGGAGGGGGTGCTCTCTCGACCCCACCCACCCAAGGCCCCCTATGCTTTTCTTCTGCAACACCTGAAAATCACACGGGCTTTGGTGCAGGGCTGATGGGTTGAAGGTGCTAGCACAGAGCTTGATATTCACTCTTGTTGGTGGTGGTTTTTTAAGATGTCTCGCTATGTGTTCCAGGCTGACCTTGAACTTCCAGCAATCCTCCTGCCTCAGCCTCCTGAATGCTGGAGTCATGAGTGTACACCACCGCAGCCGGCAGAGGTGGATAGTAAGTATGAGGAGCATTTGTTCCTACCTAGGAGCCCCCTGTGCAGCCTGAGGCATGGCACACGACAGCAACAGTGCAAGTGGAAAGTCAGCACAGAGCAGCACTCAGGGAGGCCGGCGCCCCCCAAATTCCTCCTGCAGGCCAGGGGGATCCTGACGGGCTCAGCCTGGGCAGGATTCTCAGATACAATTCCCTGAGACCACAGGCACCTCACTCACTGCAGAACTCAGCCCAAGGAGGGACCCCCAGAAGGCTTCTGGCCAGATGTGGCACCCTTGATCGTGCCCAGCATTGGTGGCTGGCACAGGAAGTGTCCGGGTGGGTAGAAAAAGCACACTCCCTCGTAGCCTCGTGGAAGGGCTCAGGCAGGTGCCAGATGTGCCCCCCTTCTGACCCCGGTTGCATTCACTGTTGGTCTGGGGGTCCCAGAAACAACCCCCCCCACGCCATCAGCATTTGCACACCAGGCCGTTGTCCTAGAGGAAATCCGCCCAGAAGCCTGGCCTCCAGGTGGCTGCCAGAAGCTGCCAGGGCTTGCAGTGGCACCCTGTGATCTAAGGCGGCCCCAGGGCCTACTTACTCTGCCACATGCTGCCCTGCACACCCCACGCTGCAGCTCCGACAAGCAGCTGGAAGTTCCCCTTGCTATAACCTTGCCCGCTGGGGATGCCAGTCTTTGTCGGCATGCCTGGCACGGTGCCCAGGAACCAGCCACGTGCCTGCTGAGCTGCCCCACAGGGAGGAAACAGCTGTCCCCCATCCCAAATGGTGCAGCCGCCGTCTGTCCTTGGCAGGGAGGCATCGAGCCCTGTGCCCAGTTTGGGACCTTTCTTTGCTCACCAGATCTGCACGCTGTCATGATCAGCAAGCACGGCGCCCCCACCCCCATCCGGGCCAGGATCCCCAGAGGAGCCGCGTTCAGGCACATCCCTGACAGCAGCCCTCGCAAGCGCCGGGTCCCACAGGAAGGTGGGAGATTTTTTAAATTATTATTTATGCAAAGTGTAGACAAGAAGAGATGCGGTTTAACAGCACCATGTGACAGCGCTTGGGACTGGCGCTGCCTGCTGCCCCATGAATCAGCCGGGAGCCGCTGCCAAGGCTCCCAGGTCGGGGTGGGGGGCACGGGCAGCCAAGGTGGGGAGGCCAGGCGCCGGCCACCTTCTGACTCCATGAGTTCACCGTGGACTCTGGCCGGGTCTGGGCTGAACCCAGGGCCCTTGCAGAACTCTGAGGACCCTGAACCCTGCACCAGGGTGGCGGGGAGGAGGCGGTGTCCTCTGTGACCCGGAGAGAGGTTTCCTGCTATACCTCGTGCCTGGCTGAAGGATGCCCTGAGCCGGAACCTTGGGTAGGATGAGGCACAGCTGGTAGCCGCCATGGCAGTGGGGGGCAGCAGGGTCACGGGCAGCAGGGACAACACTGGAGATGGCATGGAAAAGTACACGGAACAGCCAGGGCTGAGGACCCACCCCCAGGATGAGACCCGGCCAAGACCCAGGCACAGCAGTTGGGACAAAGAGGTGGGCACCATCCACAGTTGTCAGGCAGCTGTGACTTAGCTCAGACCGCAGGAAGATATTAAATAGCCAGCACACCGGGGTGTGGTTCCAGCTCATCACAAGGACTGAAGCAAAAGCCAGGCCAGGACCAACTACCATCCCTGAGGGGAAGGGGCCTTGGACCTGCCTGCTTGTGAACGCCTCAGGGAAGAGCTGTCCCCCTCCTCCTTCCTGCGAAGTTCCCAGGCACCTCACCGTCCAAATCCACCAACACCAAAATGCAGTGACAAGTGAGCTTCTGGAGCAAGGACTTCCCCAGGGAGGATGGGCTGTGAGTCGCATTGTCCTGAAACCTTCTGGAAGCACACGGATTATAAATAGCATGATTGGTGGCCTGCATTTTTCTCCATAAACTCTCCCAAGCCCCGCCTCCCACGGATCAATTGCTATGCAGTGGCCACAACCTGGAGGGCTGGCTGCTGGCCCCAAATCCGGGGTGCCTCAGGGTCTCCGCAGCCCCTTTCCTAACCACTGTGAGCAAGGGGGAGGTGATAGAAGTGGCCTGTGTCTCTTGCAGAGGGAGAGCTAAGGGGAAATGGTCATTTTAAATGATCCCCTCTGCACATTAAGGGGTGGGAGATGAAGTAATTCCTATCTGTAAGAATGAATCTCTCCTCGGCAGCTTTGCGGGTACAGAGGCTGTGGGGACAGAAAGGAAAGTCCGGGGTCAGCTGGCACACAGTGACCCCAAGAGGACAGTGGTGGGGTGCACAGAGTGCTGGGCCTCTGGACAAGCTGGGAGCCAGCGGAGAAAGGGAAAACAGCCCCTCTTAATAATCAAAGGAAAGAGGGCTTCTCCGGCCAGCCGAGGGGCACGAAGAGAGATCATAGGCCTCAGAGGTGCACAGGCTGGGCACCCCGGACATCAGCAAAGCGTGGAACTGCACCCAGTCTTGTGTGAGTGGCACCCCAGGGAGGGAAGGAATTGGGGACCACGGCCTGAGAAAAGGCCACTCAAGGGGCCAAGAGGAGAAACCCACGCCTCTGGAGTGTCTCCAAAACTCCGCCACGGAGCTAGAGCTGGGCCCAGCCACCTCACTGGTGTCCCCCCCCACCGCCATCTTTCCAGCTTGTTTCAGATCCTTCCCGGGTCAGTGCAGAGGTGAGACGCTCCAGGTTCAAGGGCATCCTGGGTGCTGGGGACCCTGAGTCAGCTCACGTAGAGCCAGGGTGGGATGGGGGGGACTGAAGAGGCAGCAGCTGTTCAGTCCTGGGAAGGGGCACCTGTCACCCCTCACGTGCTGATGTTCCTGGGACCTGGAGATGGTGACTCCCATGCAAGGCCATCCCACAGTAACCAGGGGCAAAGCTGTGGGTAGCAGAACCGGTCCAGGCGGAGGCCCAGTGAGCCTGAGGATGCTCAGGCACACGGGCTCATTGTGGGCACACAGGTCGCTGCCTGGAAGCTCAGGCACAGTTTCACCCATCATCCCCAGCTCCTTTGTCTCCCTGCTATTGAACACTGAGCGGGAGATCGCTTTCCACTATCCCAGCGAGCTGCCTGCTTTGTGGGTGTGCCCTGGAAGCAGCCAGCCCCACACCAGCCTGAGTCCTGCCACCCCGGAAGGGCCTCCTGACACCCAAGCTCCGGAGGACTCTGAAGCCAAGACACGGCCACCTCCAGACGCCACTGGGGTGACCTGCAGCTGACGCCACCTCCCCGGTCACAGAGAGGATGCTCTGAGGGCCAGACCAGAAGAACAGTTTGGGATGAGTGGGTGACACAGTGATGCCAGGTCTCTCTGGAAACCCCAGGTCTCCTACCCGCTCACATCCTCAATAAGGCACAGCCGGAGGGAGGAGAGCTTGACCCTGGGAGTGTCCCTGTCTCACCCCATTTCGCATGCAGGGCAGAAGACCTCACGCTGCTGCAGCCTCCCCCAAGCCCACCAGACCAGGAAGGAACTGGGGACTCAGGGAGCCCTGAGTAGGGCCAGAGAGCTGGGCCTGGAGCCTTGGGCCCAGCCAGGATCCCAGACCAGAGGGATGGGGTGGACTTGGGGTGTAGAGGGTCCCAGACACCAGGACCCCAAGGATTGTCTTTCTGTCCCAGCTGCCCGAGGGACATAGAATGCATGTGCACAGCCCAGAAAGAAAGGCCCAGAAATATGGCACTTCTGTGGGGCATAGAACCCTGTGGGCCACCTCCAAGAGGTGTGCCACAAGCCAGGCATGGTGGCACACACCTGTAATTCCAGGGGGACTGCCCATTTGATCCAGCCTGGGCAACTGAGCAACTGAGCAAGACCCTTAGCAAGCAAAAAATAAAGAGGACCAGGGATGTAGCTCAGTGCAAAGGCCCTGGGTTCAAACCCTAATACTGGGGAGGGAAAAAAGCTGCCATAAAGGAGCCACTGGCAGGCAGCTCTGAGCCAGGCTCTGTGCCCATGACTGAGGGGTGCCTTCACCTTGGAGCCCAGCCCCTTCCACACTGCCACTCCTGAGGTCCTTCGCAGTCCTAGCCTACTCTGGCCACATGACAGTGTGCCCAAGGCTCAGCTGACAGAGACTTTTAGAATGTCCCTCTGGGCTGGGGAGCCGGCATGTGGGAGGGAGATTCACCACTGTAGTGCAACAGATGGGGACAGGGTCCCTGAAGTACATAGAACAGACAGGAAGGAAGGGCAGGTGCCCCTCGGCCCCATCACTTCAGATGCCGGGAACCCTGGACCACCAGTACAAGGACCTCCCTCCTGCTGCTGTCCCTCCACAATGGGCAGTCAGCTGCGTCCATCCCGGGCAGCACTTGTGGCTCCTCCTTTCTTGGTCACACCTGGGGCCCCTCCGCCAGCCCCCAACCCTCCTTCCTCTTTCCCACCCCAGAAGACCCTGCTCCAGGCTGCAGAAGCCAAGAAGTCCCGGCCCCAACTCCCCGGAACTGGGGGTCACAACTACCCTTCCCAGAGCAGAAGCAGACCCCAGGCTGAGACACTGCAGAGGTGCCTCGTGCCTCCCGTGACAGCATATGTGCAACCCTGAAATGCAGGTCTCAGGCCACCAGGCTGCCCGGGGAGCCCCGGGCAGGGCTATGGGGGAGGAGGTCTGGCAGGGAGGGGCAGGGCAGTCAGTGGGCAATGGAGGGGCAGAAACAGACAAGCCAGGGCAACTAGAGAGGCCAAGAAGGTCCTCTGTAGCCCAGCTGTGTCTCAGGGCAAGGCTCCGTCCAGAGGGCCTGCCCAGCCCTGCCTGCTCACGTCCCCTGAGGAAGCCACAGAAACAGTTCAGCAGCTTTATTGACCAGATAGCAGCAAGAACATGGCGGAGGTGCGGGGTCTGGACGCGATGGTCCCCCACATCCCCTGGAGCCCACCCCACCCCTGCTCCAGGCCTGTCCAGGGGCTTGGGCTGGAGGGGCTGGGAGGCCAGAGACCCAGAGCGGGGCAGCCCGGATGCATGCCTGCCCGGCAGCCAGCAGGAGGAGGTTCGTGCAGGACATTGGGGGCGCGCGGGCGGTGGGCAGCGGGCTCACCACACCGAGCACTTGTGCCCAGGGTTCATGGGCGAGTCCCTGGGGCAGTGGAAGGCCCGGCCGAACTCCTCAAACTGAGACACGCTGCCCAGCACCCTGGGGTGGGGTGGAGACCCAGGCATGTGGGTCCTGCCCAGTGGCTGCCCCACCCCTGCTGCTGGGATTAACCTGTCCTCCCAGCCTCTCTCTCGGGCAGGCAGGTGGGTGTTACCTGTAGTGCTCAGGAGCGTGCTTGTCCGTCAGCACCTGCAGATAGATGGACTGCGACCGCCTCTTGATGCACCAGTTCTGGGCCCCAGAGGGGATGGAGGGGAGGAGAGAAAGGGGTGAGGACCAGCACCTACTGTCCAACTGGACATCAGCACCCACAGGGCATCACTTCCGGGGGACCTGGGATGGGACAGGCTGGACACCCAGGGCTGGACCCCCAAAGACTGGACCGAGCCCGGGCGTTACATCCCTGCCAGCTCCTGCCCCACACCTGGGCAAAGGCGATGAAGAAGAGCTGGTTGTGTGTATACTTGAGCCGGTGCAGCGGGTGCTCTGGGCCGTGCTCCCGCACCCACTTCTGATAGGCCTGGGGGTGCAGACCGCAGGGAGCAGCTGTGCCACCTGCCCTGGGCACTGCCTGTCTCCATCCTCCGCCCAGCGAGCTCCTCCCTAGGATCCTGGGTCCAGGAGAAGGCCAGCCCCTCCCTCACCAGGCACAGCTGTGCAACCACACCACGCTGTGCCCATCCGGCCGCACTCCCCTCACTGTGCTCGACAGGCTGACCCTAGGCCAGCGCCACCCCTCCAGGCAGCCCTCCCTGCTCTCCCGGGGAAGGCAGGGCTGGTGGCCCCTTTCTCTCCCAGCTGACCCTGTGCAGGGCACAGGCCAGAGCTCAGCGAATGGGCAGGTGGGGCAGCACAGCTCTAGTCTGGGCCTCTCATCGGGTCCCTCCGTGCCCCGGCAGGGACAGAAGGCAGCAGGACGGCTCACGTGGTAGGCCAGCTTGAGGCCCCCCAGGTCTGCGATGTTCTCCCCAAGCGTGTGCTTCCCATTCACCTGCCAGGAGGGAAGAGGCGGCCACACGGGGCTCCAACCCCAGCCCCGTTTCTCCCTCCCTTCGCAAAGCCCTTCTGTCCTCGCCCCCTCGCACACTGTGCAAGTCAGTGCGACCTCACTACGTGCTGTGTGCTTGTGCACGAGAACCCTGAGCATGCGTGCAGGGACCTGGCACAAGCGTGTGCGTGTGCGTGTGTGCATGCTCCCTGTCTGTGCCCAGCGGACGGGGGAGGGTCTCACCCGCTGGTTGTAGACAGTAAAGTTGTCGTAGAGGCGCACGATGCACTCAGCCTTGCGCAGGAAGCGGCTGTACGAGGCCTCCGTCCACCAGTGCAGCAGGTTTCCAGAGCGGTCGTACTGGCCCCCTGCCGGTGGTGGGCGGGCAGGTGAGGCTGACCGGAGCCCCGAGAGCCCCCCGCCACCAGCCCCACCCCCACCATGCC